ATATTAATTGTTTAATAACGAATATAAATATATGAATTAATAAAATATAAAATTATAAATAATGCATATAAATGGTGTAAAATGATGTAGAACAAAATTTCTACATATTATATATATATAATATAATGCAGTGTTAATATGTCATAGATGAAACTCAGTTTTTCAACAATAATTAAACTAACAAAACAAGTTATAATTATAGGAAATGATATCCTCTATTATATATATAATAAATTATTATTAAAATTACTCTCACTATAATAAATATAAAAAATATAAAATATATAAAAATTCATAAATCTTCAAAACGGATGTCCGTATACATACCATTATACTAAAATGTAGTTAGAAATATATATACTATAAAATCTAATACAAATATATAAAAAAGATATTACAATCCAAGCACTAAGTCTTCAAACAAGTAATAATAAAAATATATAACAAAAACATTAAAAAAATTTAATTATAAAATCATAAAGTTAAATATAAAATNNAATATATAATTTGTTTTTTCTTTTGTTAATATTGAAAGAAAAAAATATCAAATTTCTAAATATTAGTAAAAGTGAGAGTAATAATTAGAATACTAAAAAATAAACTAGAAATAATAATATATAAAGAATGAAAAAAAAAAAAAAATCTAAGAAATATAATACATGGTATAATGGAAATAAAAATTTATACATCAGAAAAAACAAATAGAAAAATGGATATAATATCAAATATAAAAAAATGATTTTTCATTAATGATCAACGAACAAATCAGTAAGCAAATTAAATAAGATATATATATTATGTTATTAAACGATAATATGTCATTTTAAGAAACATATATTAAACACTAAAAATTGTTACTATCAAAAAACATACTAAATAATATAAATATTATATATAGTAATGAATTTATATATAAAAATTGTATAAAAAAATAAATACTTTTACGTAAGAAAAATATTTTTGGGAAAAAAAAAAGCATAAATGGAGATATTAAAAATATGTTATTTTTTTAATAATATTATAATTATAATAAATATTACTTAATATACCCTTGTACAGGTATTATGAATAATACATAATTATATTAGAATTATTATAATATGATAGAGCATGCAATTAGAAAACAAAAAAATTATTATGTTTCATAGAAAAATTAAGAACACTCCATTAATATAATTATTTAAGCATAAGTAATACATATTCATTATTATTTTACATAAAGTAGTGTACAAATATAAACTATAATACATTATGAAATCGAATTTACCGCTGTACAAATGCTAAAAAAATATAAATATACAATATTATAAAAAATCATTATTTCGTATACCTCAGATTCACGCATTCCAAAAAAACACATGATTTCATATAAAACATGAACATATATATATGTTAAAAAGAAAAATTAATATCTTAATACGTATTTCTAAAATATAAAACTAAATCCTAAACCCTTAAAAATAAAAATTGAATCCACAACAAAATAAAAAAATACATGTAACCTATAACATAAACGCATTCTTTTAAATCTGAAACCATAATCAAAAAGATAAAACATTAATAGTAATTTTTTAACAATAATAAATAACCCCTGAACGCTAAAGACTTAAGAATAAATCGTAAAATCTAAAATACTAACACTGAATTCTAAATCATATAAAAAGAGCATCCATTAGAGAAAACATTTATATACTTAATTCTAAAAATATAGATTCTGTACAAAAATATATTATTTTTATATTTAAAAAATATCTTAAATTTATTATAAATATATTTCATATTTCTATTAAACGATATTAAAAATAATATGAGAATGCCAGGATCTTCAGTTGTATTCCTAGTCACACCATAATATATAATATTATGATTTTCTTTTTGATATAAATATATCGATATTATTGTTATTAGATGTAATATATATTCATTACGTAAATGACTGTTACTTTTAAAATTGTAGGAGAATGTTATATCTATTTTTCTTTTCGATAAAGAATATAAAAAATTGGACATCGAGCATGCAGGCTATTGTCATGAAGATGATGAAGAAAAAATAGATAATGAATTAAAAACATATACTCTTATTAGTGATATTTCAGAGAAAATTAGAAACGCTATGTGCTTCTTGCGTAGTAAATCAAAAACAAAAATTGATAATAAACTTAGTAGTATATTTTACATCTGGTTAGGAAATAAAATGATTGATGTTGTAAATAATGATGATGAATTTAATTCATATATATCTAACTGTTATAAAATACTGAATACAGGTTATGATGCAGATGAATTTGAAAAACCTGTAAAAGCTATTAGTAGAGATAACTTTAGAAAAATTAAATTATTTCATGATTATTCTCTACATCATGATATAATTAAATTCTTTTTAGAGCAAAAGGAATATTCCTGTTCTAGTGATTTTAAAGAATATCTTCAAGACGCTGTTTCTACGTACATACAAATATACAGAGAGTGTACTTCTACAACAAAAAATGATTATTGCGAAATATATGAGAAAATAAAGGCTGAATATCCAAATATTAAAAATGAATTAAATACACTAGTATGTAAGGAAAATATAGCACCAGCCGTGGAATCACCCTTGAGTACAACCCATGAATCTGAAGATTCATTAGGGTCAGAAAGTGTATTACTTCCTTCTGGTGAAACTCGATATGAGTCATATAAATATATATTCATTACACTTTTACCTGTCTTGGCTGTATCTCTTATGTTACCTTTTTCAAACAAAGTATATAAAAAATAAATTTTTAAAGTGATTATTATATGCAAACTCAAATATTACATTATAAGTACAGATTAAATAATAAAATAAATTAAAAATAAATTCTTTGTGTATGTGCTATTTTCATTAGTTTATTCCAGTTGCCATGTGGTTAATTAAATTATTTAGAAATAATGAAAAATTGTGGCAAAACATAAAAGAAATATGGAGAGAAAAATTCGAACAAAATTTATTTCAACATTCTGCACCATATTATGATAGTAATGTTTTTAAAATACCATATTTCACTTAATAATATTCTATAATACTTATTAAGCGGAATTATTTTAATTAAATTTCTACCATGTACTACGGGTATCAATTTCATAAAAAAGTGTAAAATGAAGATAGATTAAAAAAAATTTTCAACACTATAATGAAAACGACATAACATATTTTTTCTGGATAATATATAATTCAACATTATAGGACACAATAAATTATGAAACAGTATATAATCTCAATTTTATAAATATTTAACAATTTTTCCTATATCGCAAAATTATTTTTTATTAATATGACATAAATATATCGCTGATTTTAGTGACCCTCCAAGTATACATTATTTGCATTCAATTGTTCTATACTTTAGACATTCTCAGAAGGAAATACATAGAATTGATTATAATTCTATATATTATATGAACTTTATCAGATAAAAAAATTTAATAAGGAATAAAAATTTTATTTTATATTTTAATATAATAATTATTATACAATTTAATCATATAATACATAAAATACATCTTACATATTAAAATAAATTCAAAATGATATATAAATATTAAGTGTACATTGTATAAATACATATATTTTTAGACACTTAGTGTATATATAATTTGTAATTACATACTTAATGATATAAAATTGCAATAGTATGTGTTGTTAACATTATCTTAACAAAAAAAATTATATATATACTATTTCTTTATATTGTTAATAATCCCATAATTAAAAAGAATTATATTATGATAATAATTTTTACATTTTGTAAATATATTTTGGAAAAAATATATTAAATTTACTTAATATATATCTTTTTTCTTACCTTATTTTTTACTTTTTTTATTTTATTATATTTTAAAATATAATATTATAATATGCATTGAAACTTCACATATTTATATATTAATTATATATTAAGAAATAGATTCCTGAGAAAAAAATTATTCATTAATCCCTACATTTTATTGTATTCTGTAAAAAATTTAATGAAATAGATTTATACTTTTCATTACAAATATATATATATATTTATAATACACATATATATAATAGGAAATGAATATTCCTGAAATATTTAACGTATTATTCATGGTTTCAAATATAAATATAAAGGTTATATTTATATAATAAAAAGAAACTAAATATATATTGATCACACAATTTTACTATAACAAAAATAAATAACGAGTAATCATATCATGATACATCAATAAATATGTGTATATATAGATAATAAACACACTCCTAAAAATGAGGAAATAAATAATATTATATTTCTTTATAGAAACTTTATTAATTAGTCTATTGTTTTATCGTTATATATATAAAATTATGTGTTTCTTTTACATGTGTATAGGTATTTTGTTTTTATTATGATAAATTTCCTTTCTTATAGTAATTACAAAATTTCATTGGCATAACCCGTAGTAAAAATGCATTTATAAAAAAAATATATATATTTTTAATTATATCACTTTGCTGAATAACATAATTCATTTTATATAAATTTCTAATATTTGATTATTCATGAGACAAACTATATAATACTATAATTGTAGTCATGTTACTTATTGATCATAAAATCGTGAAATGTGTAATATTTAGATATATTTTATATATTTTTTAAACATTATGCCTTTCTTCTCTTTATCTGTATGAAACAACCTTACACAGATAATTATATATATGTGTGTTACAATAGATTTTATCCTAATAGGTATACTCTTTGTGTATTTATGATCTAAAAATAAAATGTTAACTGAAAATATATATATACTTTCCTGATAAAATAATTTTAATTTGCTTTCTCTAAATAATATGATGTTAATTTTTAATGAATTTTATTCATGAATTTGAAATAAATCCCATTATTACTTTTAATTTTTTTGCATAAAAAGGATTAAATAGGAAAAAAATAATTTACAATGAATAAAAATAAAATGTTTATAATTATTATTAATGTAATATGTTAATAATAGGAATATAAATTCTAAACTTTTTATCGATAATCCTTACATACTAAATGCAATGATGAAGTGCTTTAGATATTGAAAATTCAATAAAAAGTTATGGGACAAACATAATTCATAATTATTATAATAGTGAAATATGAAATAGATCAATTTGTTTTCACACTAGAAGTTGTATGAGACGAAGGATTTTCATTTAAACGTGTTTCTTATTGGGTAATATACCTTTGATCTTATATATTATTTCTAAAATACATTTAACTATTATCAATTTGATTATAGATAAATTTATTTTATTTAAATAAGAAATACACTGTATGCTTTATAAGATATTATATTTTAAATCGTGATATTTCGTCGTTTATTTTTTTCCCTCATATCCTTAGCATCGCTAATAGGTGGAATGCTGTGTTCAACTAAATATGATAATTCTAAAGCATTTGTTTCATTAGATTCGATTACCTTAATACTTTTTCTTGAAACTTCATATTATTTATAATTTTTTTTTTGTTAACTTCATTTAGAGTTTAGTACATAATATGCAATAAGATTATATAATTTATTATGTAAATTGCATCATTCACTAAGAAAATATTTCAATGTGGATATAAACATTCCTGAAGAAACGCATATAATTATTGTTTTCGAAAAAAAAATGAACACAAATATATATGATACAGTTTAAATTCATACAATTACAGGTTTCATATTCTAATTATTTATATATTGGCTAATAAATACTTTATAACTTTTGATGAATGCTTAACCATAGTTAGTTTCTTATAAATAGGTTCTTAGAAGTTTTCAATGCTTTCAATGTTATATTGTTGACGAAACTTCATAAAAAAAATATTAAAATAAATGTTTTAAAGATAATTTTTTAGAGTAATTATTCTAAAAATTAAAAAAGAGAATTGTATAAATAAATATTTTTTTTCAATAAATATTCACTGATATTAGTATACATATTTACAATTTATATAAAGATAAGTGTATTATAATTGTTTGTAAAAAATTTAAATTCAGCTTTATTATAACTGTTACATGTTTTTTTGTATATAACATTATTTGAAGTAGAAAAAATTATAACTTCTAGTGTTATCGGGATAATATGTTAACCATACGAGGAAAAAGTATTTATGTATATAGTTCTTAAAGAATTAATTAGATAAAAGTATAGGAATTTTTATCTTGACTCCAGAAATTTTGTAATGTATATATTATATATTTTAATAATTATAGAATAATATATTATTAATAAAATATCTAAAAATTTATGATAAAATGACGTAAATATAAAGCACTGGTGATATTTTAAAAGTACCATTTACATGGATAGTATGCGATTTATAATTTAGTAAGCATAATATATAAAAAATTGCCGTGAATTAATCTATTTTAATATTATACAAAGCTGTATCAAAAACATAACGAGTAATATAATAATGGATATAATGCATAAACAAAATATAGTATATCATCTAAAGGTAATACAGATAAAATTAGGGTTTATAGCTCATATTATTACAAAATTATATTGTTATTGTAAAAAATTAGCTTTTTACAAAATCCAATTTTATATATGAACTTGGAACAATCTTTTAGAATAACACTAACTTATGTTTTAAAAAAAATTTGACAAGGACGAAATTGTTATTATTTTATTTATTAATTCTTCTGTAGTTTGATCAAGAAATTCATAAATTTTTTGTGTTGTAGAAAAGTATTTCATAGTAAACATTTATGGAAGATAATGTAGTAGTTATGAAAATTGTAAAAAACTGTATAGATTTGCTGTCACTAAATCTCAGTTAAAATTCATTTTCATATGTATTACTATTTTATTATATATATTAATTATTATAATTTGTTTAATGATTATTATGCTTCCATAATAGATATATAGGAGGAATTTTATAACTGGGGAATAATAAAATAATCATAAAGTTTTATTTTCATTTATGTAATCATAATACCAAATAAATTATTATAAATAAAATTTTAGTTAAATAATATTACAAATTTGTCTTATTATTTTCTTTATCCTACATTCCTACATAAGTTATATGTATTAATGTAGATAGTAAATATGCACATCTATAGCTGTTATAGTAAATTAAAATTTATTCTTCTTTTTCAGCATTTATATTCTTTGTTTAATGCAAGTAATATTTAGTTGAATATATATATTGTGTTTTCCTTCATTTAATTAAGCGCATGATTAATTTAATAATATTTATGTATATTGTTTTAGATGTATATAGATTGAAAAAGAGGAAATAGTAACATATAAATATGTATCTTTATGTTCAAATTAAGTACATCTTAAAACTAACATATCAAGGTCCTTCATAGAGATTGTGTGAAAATGGTGAAATAAATATATATTCATATTATACTATGTATTTTGTTGATTATTTTATATTATAAGAAGATAATAGCAATTTCTAAAAAGCATAAAGTAGTTTTTATAATTAAATTTTTATACTCTTAAAGTAATTCATAAAATGAAAGGTTTTTATTCAATTGATGATAGAGACTTATATTTATTTTTTGAATGCTGTAAAAGATAATATATATTAATGTTTAAAAATAATAAGAATTTTTATAAATATTTTCGTGTAATTCTTTGTCATGTTATTTTACAAAAGTATATAAACATGTATGGATGGAAATTCTTGTTTGTAAACTAATACATATTAAGCATATGGTTTTCATACACTATTTAGAATAATTAATATATGAAATCCTACTTTAAATTAACAACTAATACTGTAAAATTCAAAATATATAATATTTTTTTAATAAGTATGTTAACTGTGCACTAATTGTAGAATTATTTTTACAATATATACCTCTTATAAAATTATGAGAAAAAATAAATACTTGAAAAGATAATATAGAATTAAATAAAAATATTTTATAAACTTATATTTTTCCTAAATAATATATTGTGAAAATAATAATATATATAAGGCACTATTTTATTGTTCATTGAATAAGAAATTAAAAAAGTATGTTTAATTCTTGAACATGATATATCCTAACTATTATAGTTAAATATATTCATATAGGGATATAATTTATTTAATATAAGAATTTTTTCTAAATGTATATATTTACAGGACATAAACATACAAAAATATACTAAAAAAACATATATAATAGAATAACCTAATTTTTATTATTCAGATGTAAATTTATCTTGTAAATATATAGTAAATAAGATATATATATCTTAATCAATAGATGCATAAAAAAAAGCAACAGACTACGTCTATTTTATTGAATATACTCTAGCTATTACATTTTTTTTAAAAAAAGATATCCATAAATAATTAATTTATACTGAATTCTTTAATTATTTTTTTTATAGGACTAATTCCCCGAAAACATGCACAAAATAAAAAAAAAATGTTTATTACATTTAATTAAATATAAAAAAAATTTATATAACTAAAAATAAACGCATATATGTTTGAAAAATAGATATAATAAGAATAATATTTTATATAAAAAAAAATACTTCTTCAGACTAATTGTTTTATCTATTACGATATATTTTTTTTTATAAATTCAACTGTTAATGTAGAATTTTTAACCCTAAATTTACTCTTCAATATTTTTCTACCACTTCATAATCTAACAGATAATAATCACTAAATTTGTACTTAATGTATTACATATATGTTAGTCCTTATAAAAATGTATTTTTTTTTTATTTTTATGTGATAATATAAAATTAAATTATATTTTAATTAGTTTTTTATAATATATTTTCTGAATAATCATCATAGAGTAAAATTTAGTTAATAAAAATGCTATATTTGACTGAAAATAAAAAATTATAGAGTTAACGTTGTTAATAAATACAGAATAATAAATATATATATAGGTACATTACTAATAATTGGTCTAATGTTTTCAAATATATATTTACTTCATTAATACGAATATATCGTGGTAACTAATGATTTTCTTACCACATAGTTTTATTTTTTAAAGATGAAACTCTGAGTTATCTAATTTATTAAAGAAAATATATAAAATTATCATAATTTTTGTTATATATGATGAATTTTAATTAGCATTATTACTGGAACATTATAATTTATGCTAATTTTAAAGTGTAATTTGTTTTCTAAAATATTTTAAATAAATTTTGTGGCTTTTTAATATATGATTTATTTAATGAATGCATTATATTACATTTATTATTGTGTTACTATATATGCGTACTTTTATTAATATAAATATAGATATTGATATCTTATTTTTATTAAGTATATCAAGAAATAATTATATATTAAAAATGACTTCTTGTAAACAAAATTAATCTATTGTTACTTTATATACTAAAGCGTAGAGCTAAGATTCAATATATAATTAATATCCAAAAAATTTTAATATTAGTAAATTCTGTTATATTTTGTGCTTGCTAAAATTACAGTTCATTTACTTGCAATATTTAAAAATTGATGTTTAATTTATCATATCAAAATACATGGTTTCTAGAAGTTTATTAATAATAATATTATAATTTTATTATATTTATAACGCCATAATTATGTACATTATACAAAAATTTGTTTTTTAGAAATTTATAATACAATTTAAAAATATATGTGATGCAAATATTTATGCTTTCTTTGTTTTATTAATACTTTACAGTGTTATATATTATCTAGTAATTATTTTCAATTAAATTTTTGTACTCGATATAAAATAAATTATATAATTTATGTTGTTCTTTTCTTCTGTTATTCCACAGATTTCTTAGCATACTAAAAATTTGTTGTGTATATAGGCTATAAGATGTGTACTAAAAAAGAAAGAAAGAAAGAAACAAAGAAACAATGATCCATTTTTATTATCATTAAATTTAATTCATATTTATATAGTTTAACAATGCATATTATAAGCTGTAATAAAATATTTTTTCTCTAAGTCTCATTTATTATTAACCTTACATAAAACTAATATAATTATGGTTATGAAAAAGGTTAAAACAAAAAAGGACCCAAAGATCCTTGAAAAGTAATGTATAAGTTTTCCGGCATCAGAACACTCAAGTAATTTCTTGAGGTAGATTTTGTATTGTTCATCAGCTTCTGTCAATACTCTGCTCAAACTGTCGTTATTATGAAAATCTTTCAATAATCTCATATATTCATTAAAATACTTATCATCAAAGTGACATCTATTAATACTAATACTAAACAATTTTAATTCAGTATATAATTTATTCAAATAATCAAATATTTCAAATATGTTTTCATCAAAACCATTATCATTATCTTTACATATATTGAATAAGTTATTATTATCTTCAACTTCTGTATTTATTATTTCTTTATAACAATTATTCTCATTAATGCAATTATAGCTTTCCTCTTTTAGATCATCTTTTAGTTTATAGAAGAAATATTTGCAGTATTTTTCTTTTTCATCAATCCTTTTTTTTTTTATATGTTCTAAAAAGAAACTAAGATCTACACAAATGAAGTTAAAATAACCATCACTATTGCCTAATTTCTTACCTATTTTTGTGCATACATTATTGTACTTTTCTCTTTCTCTAAAAGCACCTTCTATAGCAGTACTATACTCATTCATACATGTCGGAAATATCCCGTCAAAATTAAACTAAAAAAAAAAAAATATAATATATTTATTCTTTGTAAATATTATTGAGAATGTATATCTTAATTTTTTTTCATAAATAAGGATATTTTAAGATTGTATTTTATAAATTATAATACTAATAATATGTATAATCATACATCTTTATTCACAGTTTTAGTCGTTGTCACCATGTTTTATATAAATATGAATGAAGCAAACAAATTATTTGTAATAATTGTTATATAAAAATATCAGAATAATTATTATACCCCAAAATTATTCATTAATTCATATAAATTATAAAAATTTAGATAGAGATATAGCATATATCTATTTTTTATATTATTAATGTATGTTGAACTATATTAGAATTTTTCATTTGTTATAAGAAATTTTCTTTTTAATGTAAATAATCAATATTAAAATTGTTTTATCTACATTATACTATAAAAAATTTTATATAATAAAAGGAATATATTTAATATTGCTAATTATATAAGACGAATAGATGAAATAGTTGTCATTAAGAAGAAAAATGTTATTAATTTTTATATAATTAAAAATATTACTTATAATATATATTTGTGTTCATTATTGCTATTATATTAGATACATATATAAAAAATAAAATGTTATAATTTGCTTTTTTATTTTTTTATAATTCCATTTATATATTACTAATGTTTTACTCTAACACATATATATTTTATAATTTAAACTCTACATTTAATATGAATTAAATATTTATAATGAAATTAAAGTATATGCTATTATGTTAGAATTAAATAAAATTTTATTATTCTATTGATCATATCCTATTAAAAAAAATTAATCATCTATTTAATTATCATCTATAATATAAATATTTCTTATGTTTCAAATATTTTCATTCTTTAAATATACATATATGTTCTATTTCATGTGATCGCAAACACTTATTTACATTGCATATTTATTATATAATTCTTATATATATATGATTCAATATTGTACCTTTAAAAAGCAAATAAGGTTATAAAAAATATATTAGAATGTTAAGTTACTAAAAAGATAATTTTTTTACAGTATTTTTTGCTTTTATTGTATGTATTGTAATTGTACTATATTGAAGAGTATATTTATATTATTCGTTACCTATATTGTATTTTCACAAGAAATTAATAACATTTTACATGCTTTTTATACACAATAAATTATATTTTATGTTTAATTGAATGTATTTTTTTAGTTTTATTTTATTTTTTGTTACTAAACTAATAACTATTTTATTGATGAATAGTTTTCTTTACGTGTTATTACCTAATGTTATCGAACAAAAAATAAAATATGTTGTAATATATGCTTTTCTGTTCATTTATCTAATAGCATATTTTATATTATTTCATGTCTTTTATATATAATATTATGATTCTATTTAATAATGGTACAGATGTATGTATTTAACTCCTAAAGAATTACATATTGATAAATGAATTAGGTAATTATAAAAAATTCATACTATCTTCATTAATAACAAACTTTTGGAATTATGTTTTCTAAATTATGAGAATATAAACACATATACATATAAATTATAATAAATATTGATTCTTATTCATTTATATAATTCTTATTTTCTAGAATACTAAATTAGAGATACATAGATTATAAATTCTATAGCATTATATGCCATAGAACTAGTATAGATTAATAAAGAAATAATTACCATGCATGTTCGAATATGATTTTCCAGGTAGTTATATTAATACATATAAATTATTTTTTTTCCACATACTGAGAAATAGAACTTGTCAAATTTTATTTCTCTATTAAATAATTTCAATAAATAAAAAAATAATTTATGTTATATCATAAATAATAATAAACTTTTTTGGGTAATGTGTTATATATATTTTTATTCATATTTTAACAAAAAACAAGGAGAAAAAAATTATTTTATACTTATTATTATTGACATATAAGGTTCATAATAACTCCTCAAAATAAATGAATAAAATATATAACTGAATTCAAATTTATTTTAAGGTCAAATTGAGAAATTATATGTTTAATGATATAGAATTTTGCGTTGATTTGACAGTTATTTTGTAATGGTTGCACATACACATTACTTATATTATAATTCTATATATTTTACATAAAATAAATGATATTCTTCTGTAAAAATTAAATTTATAACTATACTATTAATCTATTGATATTGTAAATCATATATTTATATTATTTATAAAAATATTATTATGTTTTATATATATATATATTAAAATGTATATCATTTGTTTTACACATAGTTAATAATTCAATATATATATGTTGATCACTTTGTAATAATAAAAGTAATGTAAAACTACAAGAAAATAAATAGTTCACTGGTGCATATATAATTAAGAGTAATTATATATTGATATATTTAATGTAACTACTTTTTTTGTAATTATATTTTGAAGAAAATATATACATATCATTTATTATTTATTTTAAAAATATACACAGATATAATTCAAATTACTACATAACTATGTAAATTGTGAAAAACTGTTAGCTTTAATTAGTAGGTAAGTGAGAGAACTATTTTAGTAAATAATATAAATATAATTAAATAAAAACATGTGAAACCATTAAATGATATACTAAAATTTGATTTATTTAAAGTATTAATAATAACTATATATAATAAAAGTATCAAATATTATAAATATATAGTTGTAGAATCATAATATCCTTAACATAAAAACATATTATATTTACTATGTAATACATGAATTTCAAAAATAATATTTAATATATGTTCTTAATAGATGTAAATAGACATTTAAATACTATATTAGAATAGCATGATATAAATAGAAATAATATTTATTAATTACATTCAGTTAAGTGTGTAATTTTTTATTCGTATTTAAGTTACTAAGCTACCGCATATATTACATTTATAATGTATAGTTCTATTCATTAAAAATATTTTTTTCTTGCAAAAAAATGTATAAGAAACTAAAACATACTGAAAATTTATTCATAAAAAATTTTATTCAATATATATACCATCATTGAATTATTTTATTAACACATTAAACCATTTGTTTTGTAATATTATGATATATAGATTACAAATTAATAAATTTTTGTTTTATTTATAATACGAATTATGTCATTTCATTATATACTCTTTAAAAAATATTGTTATATAAATGCCCTATAGATTTTCATATATGCTTGAGAAAAACGATAGATTAAATTTACATGATTTACGGTTAAATTATTTACGATTATGTAATACATTATATCTTCTATCACTTGAATAAGTTCCAAATATTTCAGATAGTTTTAATATATATTTTTCTTCATTTATGTTATTATAAATATTCCTTTA